TAACGATTCTAATGGATTCACAAGTTTCAAAATCAATGTTCAAAAAGCAGCGGTTCTCAATACTGTTCCTCGCTTTCCCTGCTCTACACACGCTCTGTATTTCTCTCTCTCTCTCTCGCTCTTTCAGCTCAGCTCCAACAATGAACTGTTCCAATTATACACTTATTTTCACATAGCTATGAGAAGCGTTATACATGCATGCGGTTGCCGTACTGTATTAAACCTTTAATCAGCTTTAAATAAAACCGTATATTAAAAGCTAACAGAAGCAGTAGCATTTACAAATAACAGCGTATCTAAAAGTATGAGACAACAATACTTTTGCACAAGTATGCACAGGTTCTGCGCGATCCTCTTCACTATTATCCTCTGCGGGCTCAAACTGATAAGCAATATAGATGATGCCATTGTTTACAATACAACCAGAGCACACGCCGCTGAGCTGAGGGGTGGGACGTTTAGACGCGCACTAGAGGCGGTTTAGCGAATCACAACACACTGGGCGAGCTAACCAATCTGAGCCCATCACGTATTTCTGAGGGAGGGGCTTCATAAAAGCAGGAAATGATCAGCGCGTTTATGGGAGAAGGGACAGAGCGGTGTAGAATAAAGGTAAATTATGTGAAAAATAATGTGTTTTCTTTTTAAAACGAAGCATTAACACATGTTAGACTGCACCCCATAAACACAATCAAGCCTAGAAAAAAAACAGTCAACCACCCCTTTAATTTCCTGCCTGTCTGCTAAGGGAAGATCGAGTCAGTGGGTTAATCCACCAAATCAGCACAATAACCAAACCCAGAGAGAAAGAGACGGAAAGAAGACATTTTCCTTTTCATGACAGGTCATTAAAAGCACAAAAACGTACAAAGTAATCCGTTACAAGCCAAAAGATCAATTTTCTTGATTTTGTTTCATTGCAGAGATGAAACTCCTTCAGATAACGTCTAAATACCCTGTTTCACGACACTTCTGAAGGGAGGAATGAAAATGTGGCATGAATACGTTAACGTCTCAGTCTGTGCTGCAATCTGGGGAGAATGGAAAGTCGAGAGAGACCAACTGACACATTTAGGCAGGCAGGCCACACACATACACATACAATCTTAGCTGCTGGCCATGTTGCTGTGAAGGACACAAATTCTGCCATGCAGCCATATGAATCCTGGCTGTGTAGGGTGAGACAGATAGTGAGAGCAGAGAATAATTCACACGGTGAACAGATGAAGGGTTATCAGTCCATATTCTGCTGCATAAATCTCAGAATATGGGCCTGCTGGGGTAAAAAAGAAAGAGAAAAGCAGCCAGACTTTGGCCCTTAGACCCCGCATAAGATGGAAGAGGCTATGTACGATTGTTTTAATCTAAGAATTTTGCAGTAGAGCCATAAAGTAAATGCTATACAGCCATTTAAGAAAGGACCACTAAAATGTTAATCACTGCCTTAACTGTGTGTGTGTGTGTGTGTGTGTGTTTTGATTATAATAATAAAAGCAAAATTGTTTTCAAAATAATAACATATTGTTGTTTATGTTTTTATAAATCCTAATTAAACATGATTATATACAGGTAGCTGCTTTTTATTATTTGCATTTAGCTTAGTGAAATATCTGTGGCTAATAAGAGTGTTCAAACCTTTTTAAATCTAATTTAAAATCCACATGGATTTTATTGGTTGCACCACATGACTTTAATTTGGTGAACAATTTTTTTTACAAAATGTTAATATGCAATACTTTTAAAACTGTTTTTCTAAGAAATAATAAAAGTAAAATGATGTTCAAGATGATATTGTTGTTGTTATAAATCCTAATTAAACATGATTATATAGTTGCATTTTATTATTTGCACTTTGGTCCAGTTTTTCCCCTGCTTTCCACAACCCCTTCAGAATAGAACTAGATTTTGATAAAACCAAATAGCAATGAGATTCTACACCTTTAGCAGTTCAGACTATCTTTCTTTGATCAACTACACAAAATAATAACCAATTTGTTAAACTCCTACCAAAGACAGTGGAGGAATTTCCTTCTACTGAGAGCTTTGCCAAATCAAATATTTGACCCTCCATACATCATAGAGCATCTGACATTAAGTAGCTCAGTGCGTCACGGCAGGGTAGAGAGAAAGGCCCACGGACTCGCCACAGATTGATTTACAGAGACATAAGACAGTAAATCACCAGCCAGAGGGCGAGACCGCCTCACAGGGCTCGAATAACAGGCCAGCAGGCAAAGAGTCGTGTGAGTAATCTATCAAGACCTGTTACAGTCAGACGCAAGGGGGTATAGGGGGGTCTACAACCTCAGTTGCGTCTCTGAGACACCAGTGTTGTTGTCATATTGATGTACAGAGACCAGCTCCCATCATAGACCATGTAACCCTTTTTATCATTGAGAGAATGAAAAAATAATTTGAAGATGAAGTAGACTTAAACTGCTCATTCAAAATGATGTAGCACACTTCTGTTTGGCAAACAACCCTCTGAAGCCTTAATTATTGAATAATAAATAAACAAATATTTTGTTTTGATATAATGTTATCATGTTTTTCAAATAATAATAATATAATACATATATTAATTAATAATTAATATTATGTCACATATGTCCAGTGCAAAAGAGTTAAATAATCCAGAGGTAGTTGGTTTGTCACCACTTCTGTCAACCATTTTAAATTTATGTTGTCATAAATTAAAAGCAGAATGACATATAAAGAAGTCAGTCATATAGGATTATAAGAAAGGATAAAAGATCATCATCACCCATCATACCTTAAATGGTTCAAAATGGCATGCTGTATGCATCAGATGGTTAAATCACACTAACAGAGACACTCAAAACACCAGCTTCTACTAACCATTCGGTTCTTTTTAGAGCTAATATTGATTAGAATCATTTATGTATCAATCACATGGACCCACAAGAGCGTGCGCATAGAGCAGAGCCGGAGCATTCATCACTTTGACCACTGCACTCATAAATCTCAACAGTTTTTACACAAAACCATGGGCCATTGATCACTTCCATACTTGAAAGCAAGAGTCCAGGAAAACATTGAGAGCGCTAGGAAAGATTAATAGAGATGTGTTGGTCATACACACAAATGGCATATAAATTAATTGATGGACAAGCTGGGATATGCAGACTAATCAATCCCATTCCTAGAGATGGATGAGAGTATTGGCGATGGAGAGATGTAATCTCCAACAACACAATGGAAATGATCATTTCACTTCTTTTACAAGCTCTTCAAGTATCACAAACGCTCTGTGGCTTCAAACAACACTCTTAAAATTCAGTGAACCTGCAGATCCCTCATTACAGCCCAAGATTATAGATTTCTTTCAAGTCAAATGAATTCAGAACGAATGGTAGACGTTATTTCAAACAAATGAAAATGAGTCTAAATGTGGTGTTTAATCACTCTCTGAAACCTTGTAAAGAAATATTTGATCAATGCACATTTTAATGGTGGCTTAAGTAATCACATGTTTCCGTTAAAGACAATCAGATGTGGTTGACACTGCTGTGAATGCAACAGGTTCATTGAATATGTCCAATACAAACAAACACACTGGAGAACCATGACAGGATGTAGGATGAGATGGCAGTCTTAAAATGAGTAAAGAGCAATACTGCCCTCTGCTGTGGAAAACTAAAAACAACATCATTTTGTGTCAATCAGGATTAAACCTCTCCTATAGATTAAGTACTGTGCTTTCTGCTCAAAATAAAACTGGAATCCTAAAAATGTGCAGTTCTCAAGAAGAGCCAGGATGTAGAGTGAAAGGGTCAGATAAGTTTAATGGTACATTTGATTATGTGATGATTATATTTGTGGTTATTAATGTAAAATAGCATAAAAAACTATTCTGAGTGATTATATAAATGACTAATGAATCATTAATCTGACCTGTATCATATTTGGGCATCATTTTCTTAGTTTGTGCTGGTAACTGGGACTGGATCAAATCAAACATGGTCACCCAGTAGTAGATTAGTGGTTCTCAATCTTTTGACTTCAAGGCCCCACATTGTCCAAGACAATATTCAAAGGCCCCATATGTAGGGTAACATATTTCTGGTACTTCTGCTGTAATGACAAAGAGGCTTTTTAATTTACTGAAAGTGTCAATATATTAAACTAATTAAGTAAAACATATTTAATTAAAATAATTAAGTCAAATATTTTAGAGCTTGACATAACTAGAAAAATGTATATTCATAATAGAAAGTACAGAGTTTTTAAAATTACATTATAAGTCATCCCATTTTTAAGATTATATATAAGTCTAGAAATCTCACTTTAAAAATTCCTTATTATATCAAAGTTTTTAAACACTGAGAAACCTGGTTCTTAAATAAAACGAATAAAGAAATATGATCAAAGTCAGTTTTCATCTTTTAGTTGTTTTAGATTATTTTAAAAAAATGATTTGTTTTATATTAAAAGCCCTCCTAGTTGAGAACCAATGCAGTAGACGGTCCAGCGTAACAAGCTGTATGAATCTGCTGCTGCATCCATATTACATATATCCATGTAATTGGCTTTCATTTCAAACAGGTTTCCTAAACAATCTCTCATTGGTCAGATAATCAGATAGCCCCGCCCCCAAAACCATGCTAACGGTTGATTCAACATTACTGGGTCTGGATGCTCAAAGAAAGTAATAAGGAAATCATCCTACAAGTGACATATCATAGCTTAATATGCATACACAACTATAAGTATTTTAAGTATGTTACTAAAATATAGTGGCTGGAAATGTATCTGGACATTTGAGTTTTAAATTATCATTGGATGTGTTATATTTCTTTAATGCCACTTGCTTTGATATTACAAGCAGACTTTTCCAGTAACACATTTTACAAAAACTTTGCATGCTGATATCTGTTAGCCTCATTAAAACCACTAGAAAATAACAACAACACACCAGCTGAATGCTGCTTTAGTGCCATGGGAGCTTCTGACAAAAAGGCTTTGAATCACAAACTTCTAAAAAAAAATTTTTTATTAAAAAGTATTTTTGTCCACAGTAGTTAAGACTTTGGCACCTAAAACATAAACATAAAAACAGTATACACCCATAATCTGCATTCCATCAAAACACGTACATAAAAGGGATAAATAAAAGAAAAAAAAAGTTAACTTCTTCATTAACACAGTGCTCTCCTTTGTCTCCTGATGAACACAAAGGCCACAGATCAACCAGCCAATCAGATTAGGGAGGGGTGAATATTACATCATACAAAAAGGATGCCTACAAGGCACAAAGGTTTTCATTGTAAGACAGTGCTTGTTTTAGAAAAGAACACTAATAAACGTTTAGATCACTGACAAAAATGCACAAAAAGTCACAAAATCATTTAAAAAACAATCAGACAATAAGCAATAATACTGAAAAACACAAAGGCAAAATGTGTTGATTCTCTGCTGAAGTTCCACTGATTTGAGTTTCCAGAGGATGTGGAAATGATGTCAACAGCCAAGCTTCAAATCAGTGGAATCTCGGTGTAGATGGATGGCGTCCTTCCATCCACTATGCAGAGGGAGACTGGCAGCTGACTCGACCAATCAAAAGAGAGAAGTTTTGTCTCTGGGTGTGATGTCACAGGTGGAAGCAGCAGGACAGAGTTTGCAGTGTGAGTGAAGATAAGGACAAAGAGGCACTAAGGGAGCTAAATACAGTCTCTGGGGGCCCTGTCCTCTCCATTACTGGGCAAAACTGATTTACTGGGCAAAGCACATTTATTCTAGAGGGCTCTGAGCATCTGCTAAGAGGTCTGGTCTCAGGCATTCGATTGGACATTGAATGTTCTGTAGGGAGAAAGTAAAAATGTGCATTTGATTTGTTGCAAAATCTCTAAAAGTCAATATGGAATGAAAAGTTACCCTTACTTCTTTCTTAAATACATGTTATTTATCTGATTGTGTACAAGCAGTGCACATTATTTAAAAGAAAAAAAAAGTTTGGGTTCATAATCTAATAAAAAAATAAAAACTAACTCCATGTCTAAAATCATTTTCCTTTTCGAATGACATCAAATCCCTCTTACTTTTTTAGCCTCATTACAGTATCCACTGTAATTATAAATATAATAATATGCAATTTATACAGTCCAATATATATGCTGCCATTCAAAGGTTTCAGGTCGGTAAGATTTATTTTTAAAAGAAACTAATACCTTTATTCAGCAAGGATGCATTAAATTGATCAAATGTGACAAACCTTTTGTAACATTATGAATGTTTTTACGGTTTCGAATAAGTGCTATCTATCTTTGGAACTTTTTATTCTAAGAATACAGAAATGTTTCTTAGGCAGCAACACTGCATATTAGAATGAATTCTGAAGGATCATGTGACACTGAAGACTGGAATAATGATGCTGAAAATTCAGCTTTGCATCACAGGAATAATTTTTTTAAAATATATTCAAACAGGAAAATATTTATTTTAAATTGAAACAACATTTTACAATATTACAGTTGTATTGTTTTTTCTATAGAAAGGGCAGCCTTGATGAGCATAAGACACATTTTAAAAACATTAATGTTTATAGTACATGATACTACACAATATCCGCTATAATTATACTAAAATCTGACCTTCATCAGAGATTTATCCGATTCTTCTATTCTTTTTTTCCAAGCCTTTGTCTGTCACATCTATAAAAGACTCACCAGTTTGCGTAGGGCGTTCTCTCTGTAGCGGTCGTAAGCATCAGTGCGAACTGGAGGCTGAATGAGGTCCACGTCAACTTCAGCACCAGGACGACGACAGTTCTCACAGCGCCAGCCCTGGAGAGATAGCAGGGGTTTAATCATGGGAATATATAATGTAGAAACTCTTTAATGTGTAAATACACTGAAATATAGAGAAGACGTGAAGCCTAGTGTTACCTGTTGTCCTCCATAGCAGGTACATGTGCAAATTGCTCCGAGATATTCCTTCTGCCACTGGTTGCCCACCTGGTACAGCTTCCCATCATCATAACAGGTGGATTCAACTACAGCAGACAATGAACGTCAATCAACCAACCAACCATTAAATGTTAAAAACTGCATAGACCCAACTGTTGAAAAACTCTGCTTACGGGGTTCACACTTAAACTCTCCTTTCCCGTTGCCCAGACAGGTGCAGCTCATCATGTGACCGTTCTCAGCATGACGGTCCCACTTCTCACCAATTCGGTAGTTGTGGCCATTATCATGGCACCACTCTGTAGATTTAAAGACACTTGTTGGTTAGTACATAAACCTTCAAATGTGTCTAGAGAAAGACATCTTAGAGTTTCCAGTGAATTCATCCTTCACACACATTCATACAGTGGTTATTGCACA